GCGGTTGCAGAAGGGGCACACGAAGGGTTTGTCCAGGGTGTGGATGCGCATGTGGGAGCGCAGGTTGCTGCGGGAGTTGAAGCCGCGGTGGCAGATGACGCAGCGCATGCGCCCCGTCGTGCTGGCCCCCGTCTCCACCGCATGGAAGTCCTCTGAGGACAACAGAGGACATTCAGGCACTGGCCTCCGGCACAGCAGCTCACCCGAGCCCCAAGCCCCCAAGGTTCTGACTGTCCTAAATAAGCACCCCGTGCCCCCTCGCTGGCTCCTCTGCCCGCTGGGGATGCCCGTGAGCAGAGGCACCCATCCCAGGCAGAGCGGGGTCACAGGCTGCCACTTAGGACTTTGGGATGGGGCCAGGGCTGGGAACAGGCTCACCCAGATTTAGGCAAGGGGGGAACTCAAGCCGACCGATCTCCCTTATAGACGGGCACAAAAAGCGCTTTTCCCCTCCCTGGGCTACAAGCAGAGCTGGAGGGGGCGAGCACAGGAGCCCGCAGCCCAGGCCCTTGGGCAGCAGCTCACCGGCCCTGCGCCGGCCCCAGCTTCTCCCCCAACTCCACAGGGCCCTGACCCAGCTCTCTCAGAGCAGGACTGGGGAGCACAGATGGGGTCTGGCTCCGAACACAGCATCCCCCAAAAGTGCCCAAGTGCTCTGCTGCCTGCCCACGGAGGAATGCCTCAGGGAACCACCGAGACAAGCAGAGAGCAAAAGCCCCGGGAGAGAAAAAGCTTCCTGCGATGGTGATTTGGGGAAAGATCCGTTAAACAGAGAGCAGGGACATCGGCAGCTACATACACGCGGTGTTTCGCGGTACGCTGGGGCTGCCTTCCTCTCGCTCGCATGCCTGCTCGGCTCCTCCCGGCCCAGCTGGGTCAGGTGGCGACTGCTGGCCACCACATCAGCAATAGCCATGGGCAAACTGGCCCGGAGGCAACCCCCAGAATTACTGGGGACCTGCTCAAGCTATATGGATCTGTCTCATAGTCCCTGTGCTTGTCATCAGAGAGTTGGAGGATCTGATGCATCCCCTGGAGCGTCCCTGCCCCATGCCCACCCCATGGCCTCAGAGCTGGGGACAGGGTGAACGGAGAACGGACTGGGATGCTGCACCCATGGCTGTTTCCAATGTTACCTACCGTGTTTGTTCTTCTTCTGCTCCTCTTCCAGCCCTGGAACACCCGGGATGCCCAGGAAGGTGTTATGGGAGTTCCCGTACCAGACCAGCAGCTCTTGGTCTGGAGGAATCATCTAAAAAGAGAGATATAGACAGGGCTGTCAGACGGGGACAGTGAATGCCTCCCCGTGCATCCTCGGCCAGTCGCTTCAGACCTCCACGGGCCATACCCCATCTCCTGCCGGACCCTGCTGCCATCCAGGACCTGCCAGTGGTCCTCAGCACCCCCCAGCCAGGCACAGCACAGCCCAGGCTGCGGCACTGGAGGTGATGGCACAGCTCAGCACCATCCACCGCCAGCACAAACCTGCACCGGGGTCTGCCTTGGGCTGGGCCACGACCAGCATGACAGGCAAATAAGCAGCTACAGAGCACACGGACGGAGCTGAGGTCTCTGGAGTGACGGACCCAGAGGTCCCTGCAGCTCGGGGAGATGAGGGCACGGAGAAATGAGCCATTTGTGGGTCCATGAACTGCAGCGAGGCACAAGTGACAGAGACCAAACCAGGGAGCCATGACACAGAGGCGAGGCTCAGTGCTCCTGCAGAGTATTTTGACTCGGGACGGAGCCATCAGCACCCTCCTGCTGTAGGGCACAGGCAGCATCTCCCACGCGGCCCTGCGGGGGTTTATGTTAGCAGATGAAAATGCAGATGCACCAGTGAAGGGCTCGTCAGCCCAGGGATCGGAGGAGAGCTCGGGGGCTGCTATAAGAGAGCGTGGCTAGGGTGCGAGATGCTGCCTACGTCCCAGACCAAAGCCCCGGTGCCTGCCACAGCCCAAGGAGCTCTGCAGGGCCAGGGGAAGGCTTGCACCACCCATGTTCCCGTTTCCCCGAAACGATGGCACTTCTCCTTCCCCTGTTGTTCCCGTTATGTTCCTGCACTGCCGGGGCAGCCGGAGCGAGCAGCCGGGAAATGCTGCTCAAGCCTCCCCACGCAAAGCAGCCGCGGCTGGGAAGAGGGATGCTCTCACACCGGAGCAGCTGCTCCAGGCAATGCTAATAACAATATCACTTCCTAAAAAACACACATATTTTTCCCTTGCAGGTCCCTAGTGTTAAGAACCTGATTTAGAAATAGGAAAGCCCCCCGTTTCAGAGGACGTCTTTCCATACACAGTGTAGTCCAAAAAAAGCATCATCCACATGAAAAACAGATCGTAAGTTTGATCACCCGAGCGCTGAAACTGTGCCTGATTTTAAGCACCTGAAAGCAGTGGGAATTTGACTTCATACATTTAAACATCCATCTGTGCAAAGACCTCACTGGGACTGCAGAGTAGGAATTTGGGAGGCAGGAGAAGCAGGTATCACTCCTCATCCCAAATTGGTGCTGTTTCTTTGTGCCATTTTTTCTTAACAGAAAATGAATTATTTTTAATACAAGCAAATAGAATAAAGTATGGCCAAAAGGATAAAACGCATTGCATGCATGCATACATATTTATATTCTGCTGGAGCTGGTGCATATATGCCAGCAGTGGGTGAGCACCCATGTGCATACACCCCAAAGCAATTTAAATTGCCCCCCAGGAACATGGTTGCCTCCAGATCAAAGGCCAAAACTCTCTGCCCTCACTTGATTTTCCAGCAGCGGCAACTTGAAATTGCTGAGGAAGAGGATGGGAAAAACAAACTAGCAAGTAAGGGCAGGAATGGGCAAAACACGTGAAAATATTAAAGGCAAATCATGAAAAAGGCACCCCATAAATCTAGTTTTGTAGTGGGTAGGTGAGAAAGGCACCCTAAGAGATACTGTGCTGGAGTCGTGGTGCAGCAGAGGTGGGTGCAGGGCGACAGGAGCCAGGCAGCTCACGGTGCCCAGCGGGGAGGGGACGCAGCGGGCGCGGGGCAGGAGGCTGTGCAGGGGATGGAGGGTGGCAGTGCCCGTGCACGGACGCATGTGCTGCTGAGAGGGCACCGCTAAGATCAGATCCATGTTTGCATATCCTGATGCGGCGCTCTCAGTCCAGGGTTTGCGGCGAGGGAGGTGACAGGGCAGGAGCGGTGGGTAGCAACTGGGGAGCTCGCTCGGGTCAGAGATGCTGCGTTTGTGTGCCCGTGACTCCGCGCTAGGGGATTAGCAAGCAGAGAGACACCCACAAAGGGAAAATCCTCTCTTGCTTTTCCTTTTCTTGTTGGGTGCACAAACCCCAATGAGTTTGAACAAGCAACTGGTTTTGGATGGCGCGTGTGTGTGCAGGCACGGGTGCCTGCAAGCGTGTTGCACAGGCAGGAACGGGGAGCCCACGAAAGACACAGATCCTCAACCTGTCATGCCTGGTTGTGACCCAGCTCCTCGCATGCTCCATGCTTCCCTTCCTCCTGCTCCACACAGAAAGCCCCGGCCCCTTCTGCTCCTCCCGGCACAGAGGGACCCACGCCGACCCAGCAGCAACAGGAGCATCACCGGGTGCCAGCCATGCCCGGGGAGCACGCCGCAGTGCGACAGCAGGCACCCTGCATCCCCACTTTCACCTCCCCTTCGCTCGGGGTTCAGCGCTCTCAACATTTCAACTTTGCTGCTTGCACTGAGGGAATTAAACTCATCCTGCTCTGGTGCTTGGTGCTTCAGCCCCGGGAGCAAGCCTGCAGATTGACTGTGGCCGTATGGGGCCTCTCACCTCCCCAAATATCAGCTCACTCGCCCCATCGTCCGTGCAGGTACAAGGTGCGAGAAACACAGCTGTATTCCTAATTACACCATGGCTACCTGGAATTATTTTCCTTCTTAAATTATGCAAAGAACAGAAATAAAAAGCTGTTGTCACAACAGGCACAGCTGCCCACGAGAATATCAGGTCTTAAAATCAGGTACAGCTGAAGCCTACGGAGGGGTGTCCAGGATGGGGAGAGCAGCACAGAAGCACTGGGACTCTTGCAGCGCTGCACGGGGAAGGGCAGCAGAGCCCTGAGGAGGCACCCAGGACTCTCCCGCAGCAGAAGAAAATACCTGTTCTCTTCTCACCCACCCACTCGCCTTTCCCATCCCACTGCGGCAATCCCAAACCCAGCCCTGATGCTGGCTCAATGCAGGATTGAGCTGTGGTCCTGTGCCATGGAGCATTTAAGCATCTGCTCCTCTGTAAGCCAGCATGGGAGCCCAGAGAGATCCAGGGAGCTGCCCTTGCCCTCGGAACCAGCGGGCACTGGTGCTCTTTCCCAGCTAAGACCCTCTCCCAGCTGCGAGCAGCCGCGGGAGCCCCTGCTCCTGAGCATGCGAGACTCTGGACCTGATACTGGTGAGGGACAGTCCCACAGGGCTGGGCTGAGATGTTCCCTCTCATGACTCTAAGCTGAAGCACAGGGACACCTCCCCAAGCCACCACCTTCCTCCACCTGCAAAAGCACCAGGTTATGGGGACACTGTACACAAGCAGGGCCGGTCCCCGCCGTCACGCTGCTGGCACGGCGCGACTTGTACACACGTAGCATCAATGCTGCCGGGGAGCTGGACACCAGCCTCCACGCCAGCATCTCCCACGGGGAGGTGTGCATGGGGGTGCCTCCAGCCTTCACCCCGCAGCACGGCAGCCTGTGCCCTGGGACATCCCCAGGACCCAGCCCCTGCTTCCTCGCTGGACCAGCACCCACCAGCGCTTCGTAGGGGAATGCAGCATGGATGAGCTGGTCAGGATGAGGCCCTTCCCCACGGCCTGCTGCAGGCAGCCCCAGGCACAGCGGTGCCAGCGCCACACCCTGCCCGCTCTGCCGCTCCCTGCCTGGCTCTGGCAGCCCCAACCCTCCCCTCCTGCACCATTTACAGCCAGAGCCGCTTGTGATCCGCTGGGTGAAAGTTGTGCAGAGTCAGGCACAGCTGGCACTCAGCACCTGGGTTTCACAGAACCACTCCAAACTTTTCCTTGCTACAGAGAAGCAGGTTCTGCACAAAATCCCATTTTCCAAGAGAGCATCAAGACCCCGCTCCTACCCAAAGCCCCGGCTGGGCAGGATGACAGCTCTTTTCATGCTTTACACCCCAGAACAAGCTTGGGCAGCATTTGCTCTCCCTCTGCTCAGCACACATCACCCCATGAGCCCACCAAAAGGGGACGGAGAGAAGGGCCACTTGCTGCTCCCTGGAGTATCCCTGAACACCTTGCAATGGCCTTTCCCAGGGGATCTGAGTGCCAGGGACAGCAAAGCCACCCTGTGCTCCCACAGACACCCCAGCAACAGCCCAAAGAACAAGGGTCTGTGGGGTGGGGGGTCCCAGCACCCTGCTCCCCACTTGAGGCTGCCCAGCTGCCTCCCCAGCCCGCTTACCTCAATGGCCTTGTAGAAGATGCTGTTCCCGATCTGGACCACCTCCAGGTTCTGCTCCTGCTCATTCCGGGCACATTTGATGTAGGTCATCCAGCTGCGGTGGTCCTCCTGGCTGGCATCGATGAAGTACCGCACCGTGCCATCTTCGTTGAAGACCTGGGAGGAGGAGAGCGTGGTTGGTAGCGATGCTGCCCACAGGGGACTGAGCCCCTCCACCTCCTGCCTCTGGGATAAAGTCCCCGACCAGGGACAAGCTCAGAGCCAGCACAGCCAGCATGGCCACGGGGCTGAGACCCTGCTGGCAGCCGGGAGCCTCTGCCTGCAGCCGGGAGATGCCGGAACCCCTCCTGCTCACAGTGCTGGATCACGCATCCGCAGCGGGGCTGAGGAAGGGCATCCTGCTCTGCTGGGCGGGCACGGCTGGCCCTGCCAGCCCATGCCCACCCGGATAACCCAGCTCCCTGCCTCAATCCCCCTTCTCAGCAGAGCCCCGACAGCAGCTTGGCCCCAAAGGGGCTACTCAGCACCCTGCGGCTGCCTGCGGGAGCCGGGGTGTCCCTGCATGGAGGAGGAAAGTACCTGCCAGACCCAGCCCTTTGGGGAAGATGCTTTGCAGGGTGGCAGGAAAGGCGAGGCAAGTTTCTATTAGGCATAATATTATAATAATAATAATAATTTAAAAGTGCAAGTCTGATATTCAGCAAAACAAAACCGAGAGAGAGAGAGAGAGAGAGAACCCCCCCTTCTACTAGCTGGGCATTAAGGTGTGATGTCCTGGCAGCTCAGATGCCCCCAAACCCCACGGCTTCACTCAGGGTTAACCGCACCGGGGCTGGGACAAAGCGGGGGACAGGGCAGAGCTGGTTTCGCCCACCGTGCGGGGTGCGGGCAGCTGCCAGCTGGGTGTTTCACCACGATGGGGAAGGGCAGAGTGTGATCCCACTGTGTGGGACACGAGCAACTGCGTTTTGGGGCTCCTCTGAGAGCTGGCTGCATCCCGGGGGCTGGGGAAGCCTTGTCCTTCTCCTGCCCTGGAGGAAGCCAGACCTTTGCACGAATGGGGAAACTGAGGCACGGGGAGGGTGCCTGAGGGCACACAAGCCCTGGACAAAGCCCCCGGGCCCCAGCACCCCCGTCCCTGCCTCTCCCCGGGCCAGCCGGGGCTGGGGGCACGGCGGGG